TTGTTCTGAAATATTTCCTTTAGAGAATTTCTTTCCACTTCTACATGGGACCACTCTTTGCAAGCCCAAGAGGACTGCTTAAGCTCCATTTTTACTTTTGCTGTTCCCCATGCTGGCATGCCCTTCCATCCAAATTCTACTTTAAATTTCAGTTCAGGCACTCTTACCATAGGGTTTAGGGAACTCAAGATGCTTGGCACCTGGGATTGCAGACAAATTTGTATATGTTTTATGTGTACAGTGGATCTAAATTTTAAATCAGTTTTAAGGGGCTGGGGATTTAGCTCAGGGGCACAGCGCATGCCTGGCAAGGGAGAGGTCAAAAGTTCGATTCCCGGTACCGGAAACTCCCCCGCCCCCCCCAAAAAAAACAAAAAAAAAAATCAGTTTTAGTAAAGAATCTGAGATGACAAAATAATTAGGGATCACTAATACTAATTTAATCTAAACTCGTTCCTTTTCGTGAACCCAGTTCTCTGCTCCTCTCATTACCATGATCAACTATGTCCTGGTGCTTGCTCTCCCTGCTGCTGGCCCAATCATTGCTCAGGGGCCAGCGTGCCTGATACCCAGCTTGTGATATTTCACTGCAGTAGCCCAGAAAGGCTGACACTCAACCTGGTTGATTGTTGCTTAATGTTCTCTCATCCCTCCTGAATAATTACCAGTGTGCTCTAGGACTGCAAGTTTATTTATTCCCTTGCTCCATTGTATTGATCTCCTATACCCTGTAGGTGCATCTCTACGGAACTCCTGATTTCCCTCTGCTAGGTCCTATTCTCATTTTTGGAAATTGCTGCTGTATTATCCTAATCTTCAATAATAACAACAGTGAGACTAATGTTATTAATAGCAAATACACAGTGCTTACAATATGCTTGGCGATATACTTAATGCTTTCTAGGTACTGCCTTCTTCTCCTGACTACTGCCTTACATGGTGTACTTTTCAAACAGAATTTTCTGTTCCACTGAAGTTACCTTTTACTGAGAAACAACTGCATGATGAACATTTTGTTAATACTCATGTATGATATATATAATCCACACAAACCCAGGAACTGGACAATTTTATCCTCGTGTTATAGATGAAACAGACAAAAAGAAATTGAAGGACTAAATTACCACAGTTAAACTGGACATGTAATCCCAGAGCTTGGATAGGCTGAGGAAGGAGGATTACCAGTATGAGTCCAGCCTGGGCAGCTCATGACTTAGAACTTGTGTCAATATAAAAAAATAAAAGAGGGGCTGGGGATTTAGCTCAGCGGCAAAAGCGCCTGCCTGGCAAGCGCAAGGTCGTGAGTTCGGTTCCTGGTACCGGAGAAAAACCAAAAAAAAAAAAAAAAAAAAAAAAAATAAATAAAATAAAAGAAAGGTTGTAGATGTAGTTCAGTCTAAAGGTCCTGGGTTCAATTTCTAGTAAACCCCCTTCAAAAATCATACCAATAGTAATCTGCAGTTAAATTGCAGAATCTTTTCCAGTGCCAGAACTAAATAGGTTAATATATTCCTGAATTCACTGCCTCATGTCCCAACAGAACCTATAGCTCTGGTGGATAGGTTTGTCCAGACCTTGACTCTGCCCTACTTAATTATTCCTTAACACAGTTACTCACATACTGAGTGCTGCCTATAGCCTGTGCATTGGCCTGTGGGTTGCAAGTATGTGTCCTTCAGTTCACTCCTTGATTTACTAAGTGATTCACTTATTGGGTGCTTCTTCTATGTCCAGAACTGTGCTTAAAAAACCCACTAGGAAATTGATTCTGGAAAAGCATAGTATGGAGAAAGACAAGTAAAGAAATACAATACCTGTGACAGAGGTGCAGAATCTCACATCTGTGAGTCAAGGCTAACAGACTAGAATGCTTGCACTGAGACTTAAAGAATGACTCAAGAAGGAGAGTTATTTCAATCAGGGGCAAGAGAATTCAGCAGGATTGTATGGCCTGTTCAGGGAGCCATGACAGGTTCAGCAAATCCTGGAGACAGGGCCGGCAAAGGAAAAGATGGCACAGGGATCAGAAGTAAGATCACTGGAGACTCGTACAGCCTGCTGAAGGAAGTAGGCTTTAGGCTGTGCCATAGACTACTTCCAAATCAAGTCTGTCATATCTCAGTCACGTAGAATTTATGTTAGCAGGTAGTAGAAATTGTACCTTCTACTTTTGAGGAGGGGCTGTTACTTATGTTGGAAATTATTACTTATACAGGGAGCTGGAGATAGAGTTCAGTAGTAGAACACTTGCCTAGTATGGGCTAGGTCCTCAGTTATATCTCCAGCACTGAAAACCTGCAAAAAAAACGTTGTTCGTGCATTGTGTTGATATAGATAGAAAGATAGATAGATAGCTAGATAGAGATATAGATATAATGGAGAGCTAGTACTTCTGACTTAGTTGGCATTATTAATCTAATATGCACTGATTTAGCAAATGCACAAAAGCTAACATTAAAGAATATTCTAGCATGTCTCAGATGTTCTTTAATTCTTCCCCTCTTTCTAGTCAGCCTCAAACACGGAATGGCAGTCAAGCTGCGATACACACAAGAAAGGTTTCCTGATTCTGAATAATGTGTAGTTATCGGGGATTAGTGCGCACGCAACCACCTCTGCTTGGAAAGTTTACCTCCTGTGACGAATTTGATCTTCACACCATAAATTCAGTCTGCTGACTTGCTCCTTTACATTATTTCTGAGTCTACTTTTGGAACTCCTCAAGGAAGTGAAATTACTAAAAAAGAGTACCAAGGGAGGTTTTAGGAACAAGTGCCTTATTTCATGTTTCCTAATAAAACCCAATACTTGCAACACTTTGCTATGTACTCGTTTAAAGAAATATGCACATTTTCTCTTCTGCATGTTTTGGTTCATCTCAGAATTCCCTCAGTGCCAATCTTACAGCAGGCTGGGGCATTGTTCTTATTTACCTCCTCCTCACCCCATCTTCTCTGTGGGTACCCCTGCCTTGCCAAAGGTGGCATATGGCACAGTGACTCATCCGACAAAAGAAGATAAGGACAAGATGGGAAGGATTTCTGATGCATTCTCCCCCACATCCTTCCTTTCACCCCCAACTGTGGAGACTGAGAATGGGGACATTTATACCTCAGAGTGAGTGAATATAAAATGCTTTCCTGCTTCCAACATGGCCCTTTGTCTTGGAGCTCATTATTTCTTTAAACATAACTAAATGTGGCGTGGAAATTTCACCTTCTTATGCAATTTAAGCACAAGCAAAAAGGTGCTTGGGGTGCGCCTAATGTTTGATCCCAAGTTTTTATGTAGCTCCTGCCTGTCCTTGCAGTAGTACAACACAAAAGGCAACCAGCTGTTTCCTTGTTAAAGTTCCAGGTAATCAGGACAGCGACCGAGGACATAGCCATGATCACAGCGGGGAGGGGTGGAGCCATGTGATGTTTTTCATCAGGCACAGTATGTCAGAATCGTATAGCTGTCAGAAAAGGGCATTTCATTTCATGCCTGTTCGCTACTTCTTTGTTGTTATTGTTGTGTTGCCAGTTTGAAATCCCTGGCACTTTTCTCAGACAGTGGGATGAGGCTGTCATGAACATTGCATTCCCTCAGTAAGGGAATAGCTAATATTTCATGTTCTTACCATGCACCTGCACTGCTCATCACAAGTAGTAGCCTTACTGTTTATTCTCACAATAATATTGTGGAGGAAAGTGGTGTTATTCCCCGTTTAGAGAGGAGGAAACCAAGACACAGAAAGGTTAAATAATTGCCTGAATTATCCAACTCATAAAGCTTAGTGGAGCTGGGATTTAAATCCAAACAGCCACTGTTAAGTTTAGGAAGAGGTAAGAGAGGCACACATTTTAAGGAAGAACTCCTCAATCTTGTGCAAGTGAAGGATCACACCTGTGCATGAGTGCTTCCTTAACTCACATCCTAGTCCCCAGCCTTGAAAGCAAACTTGCTGTAGAGCCTATGGGCTTAGCCCTTCTTTGTCCTGCCAGTCTGAGCCCCACCCCTATGGGGCACTGTCAGCCTTCAAAGAGGAAGCAGATTGCACAGTCCCAGAAGGGGTACATAGGGACTGAAAGAGCAGCAGGGATAGAACCCGGAGTGGGCATCGTTCCCAGGCTATGGCTAGCCTCTACTTTTGTACTATTTTCTCCCATGCTGCTCACATGTAGATTTGTCTCCCTCCATCCTCCTACAGTTTGCAGAAGAAAGAAGATGCTTCTTATTGAGAGGCAAATCTCTGCATCCCACAGAGAAAATGGTAGAGCCTCAAAGAATATGATGCATACTTAGGTCTGGTTGCTTTGATGTGCCTTATTTTTCTATTGCCAAGTTAATGAATACCCTGAGGTGCCTGTTGGGGACAAATTTATCCCAAAGCCGCATATGTACAAAGACTCTTGGGTTCTCAGAAGAGGAATGGAAGTGAAACTGCCTTAGCAAGTGGGAGAAGATGAGGAGAGTCGCAGATCCCAGGACATGAATGGAGAACTCTCCTGTCACACATATCTTGTGCTCTTACGAGCCTTTAAAAGACCAAGCAGGTTTTGAGTGGGACTAGACTTGTCTCATTATTTAGTGGCAAAATAATTACTATATCATTAAGATACAGAGTTCTTTTGTTCAATCTTGGATGGCCAAACACTTTGAGGTCCCAGGGATCATGTGCTAACAAGGTGGGGCTCCCTCTGGGACCCTTCAATGATGGTCTCACGGTGCTCTGAGTCAGTGCCCTGGACAATATACACATATGGTCTCATAGGAAGCTCTTATAGAGGAGCAGGAGTAGTTGGCCTCATAGCAGAAATGAAGGCCAGGAAGTGTGAACTCAGCACCACAGTACAAAACATCTTGATAGTTTGACACCCGAGAAGACAGATTGGCGATGGTTTCCCCTCCCTTATGGGTTTCACGCCAGCAGAACCATGTGGGAAAGGCCACACCCAAGAACAAGACAAGAAAGGCTCAGCTGAAGGGAGTACTGAGCACAAGAAAACATCACTTGCCTCTTTGATCAGGTTCATAAATCGGGGTCCAAGGCGCCACGGCTTGTGTCGATGGCACTGGAGCGAGCTGACAGTCAACTGTGAGGCCCGGTGGGAAGCGATGGCCACCATATACACGGCATCATACATCAGAGCTGCTTCAGTCTGTGGAGAGAACACACACCACATCTTTAATCTTCATTTTCTTTCCTTTACCTGCACGGTCACAATCTCTGCTTCCTTTGTTCCTATTTCATCTCAAAGGCCATTGTTTTCTTCAGCTGGGCAGTTTTCACTCCCCAATGACTATTTTTCTCCTAAACAATACCTTACACTCCAGAGTAAATTAAAATCATATCTCTGTTTCAGTTTGAGTTCTTAAAAAAACAAAGCAACTCAGGTGAATCACAAAAGACTTGATTCAGGAAACAAATATTTTTGGACTGTCTCGTTAAGCATGATGGCATGATTACCTGCACTGATCAAGAAGCTACTAAAGCTCAGTATTCCGCATCAGATTTTGCCTTTTATCATTTATCTACATTTATTTAATTACTGATTTATATTTGGTAAAAAGAAACTCCTGGAAATAAAACTCATAGATGATTCACGGTTAAGGATATTTGTGTGTCAGTCACTTCCATTTACAGGAATTGAAGGCTGTAATCATGAAATCAAGGTCAACGGCACGTTTGAGGAGTCAAATTTGTGGATAAGAATATACCTACCCATGGCCGACATTGAAAATAGTCATTCCTCTTTGGGGCTAGATATCTTTTCTCCCTTTCCTCATGAAATTCTTCTCATTTGCAAGACTTTACATAATACTTAGAGCAATTTACAGAACATACTGCCTTGTGGTTTTCTTTGGGGATAAATCTCATAATACCTTCACATTTTCCTGGAGGGCTTTCATTGCAACTGTAAGTGCATTAGCTCATTTGAAATTCCCATAACTCTCCAAAATAAGCAGAATAGATAGATAAAGCTATTTATTATGTGAAAAAACTGACCTGTATGCAAAATATTGAATCATGGAGGGTCCTAGGTACATAAGGGATAATTGCTAGAGTTAGACCAGAATCTAGATTTCAGAATGACAATTTATCATATGGACTTTCTGCAATTAGTTTATTTATTCACTTTTTACTATGCATTGATTTTATCTTGATGGAGGTGGAAAGAAGTATACGAATTATTACCTTTTTCACTGTACTAGTTTTTGAAGTCAGGGAATACTTCTAGTTTGAATCCTTTTTATTCTATGCAACCTCTATCATTGTATTTTACATATATTTATAGTCTTTTATTTTGTGTTTGTGTATTGATAAAAATATGGCATTCTTGAAGGCAGAAACCACTTGAGTTTAACCTTTGGTGCCTACAATAGTTCTTGATGCATAAAAGTTGATCATACGAACATTTATGGAAGGAATTAATGTTACTTCATGCCTTAAAATAAAATGCATTTTTTTTTGAAAACTGCATAATTCCAAGGCTTGGAGATAAATCATTTCAGTCTTATAATTGACGAATGGAAGTTACACTAGAGATGGTGGTGATAGTCATTGCTAAAGCCTGAAAATGTTTTGATAACTTCAATTCAAGATTACATAATCCACCCTATAGATGAGAAACCTAAGGTTCATAGAAATTAAGTGACTGGGAGGAGCTCCTCTGCTAATCAGCTACATGTTGAGGGTTTGAAACCGTGTCTTTCTCATCCTTCCATTGTTGTTCTTCACCACTATTTCGTACAAATTTGGTTTAACTTGGAGAGAGTAAATAATTGGCCAGTTGAGATTTTTTTATAAATGTGATCAGAAGTAATAGCAAAAACTTGCTAAATAGTTATTATATGGCCAGTCTTGCACTCAGTCTTTTGACAATGTTAAATTTTCACCCTCACCTTTACTCCTTTGTGGAAAAGAGTAGGTGATTAAATGGTGTCAGCAATAGTGGGAAAGGATTTGAACTCTAGGCCCTAGAAGCTATGTTCTTAACCATGAAGCTGTGCCTCCTTTAAACCACATTTAAAGATGGTTAAAATATTCACTGACAATTTACTACACACTAACACTACTTTATGTGTATCATTTCTGTTGTTGAAATTAAACTTTTGAAATATGTATTGTCCCCATTTTGAAGACAGGGAAACTGTGGCTTGCAGAGATAGAGTAACTTGTTAAAATTTTGTAACCAGTAAAGGAAGGGAAGGAGAATTCCAACTCAGGATGAAAACTCACATTTCAGAGCTCACTCCCATGGCCACTATGATAACCTGGGACTTTTAGGCAGCTGAATGTCCTGGGTTTTTTAATATATAAATTTGTATGTGTACAGTCTTTTCTTGGTATCTAAGGGGGACTGGTTGCAAGATATCTCCCTAATATCAAAATCTGAGGATGCTTAAGTCTCTTACATAAAACGGCCCAATGTGGCATGTAACTGTGCACATGCTTTTGTATCCTTTAAATTATCTCAAGATGATTTAATTTGTAATATCTGATGCTCTGTGAATAGTTGTTATACTGTTTTGTGTAGGGAACAATGAAGAAAAAATTCCATACATGTTCAGTACAAATGCAGTCTTTATTCTTGAGCATTTTTGATACTTGATTGGCTCAATCCATAAGAGATTTAGAGCCCATGGGTAAAATGGCCCAAATGTATTCATGAATTACTGGATGCCAGTTTGACGGAGAAGTGTCAAGAGTGGAATTCCAGTGATCTGGAGTTTTCATAAACTTAGTTGAAAGAGGAATTTAACTTTTTTCTTTAGGCTGCTTCCATACTAGTCTGGACAACTGAACGTTTCAAAACTATAAATCTGATTAGCAGTTTCCAAATCTGAAGAAAAAAACCACTTATTCTAAAAACGTTCTACCTTTTAATATAGAATATTTTCTTAGATAGACAAACATTCACTCCATTTTATAGCACTAGTAAACTACCTCACTGCAGTTTTTTTCCCTTTCAGTTTTGTCCTGGAGGGCTACACACTGAACAGCAACTCTGAAACCATTTTTGGAAATAGATAATGTAATGGAGATTGGCCCAGGTTTCAAATTTTGTTCTTCCAAATGTGTTTATGTTCACATTTTATATATATTGAAACTCTGGATGAAATCACATTGCTCAATGTCCCTAAGAAAATCTTTTCACCACCATCTGGATCATGAAATAAGCATATTGAGAGCTGGCTTCTCTCCAGTGCACATTATTCTGGTTATTACAACAATTTGTAGTAAAGAGTTAACTCAATGAGCTTGAAGTACTCACACATTACACGTTTCAGAGAAAGGTCTAGCCCTTAACTAGATCCTGGAAGACAGTATTTCATCTCCAAAGCTATATTGTCTGACAAGAGTGTCTTGTATTCCTGTTGGCTCGAACATGTCAGATAATTTATGCTAATGATATGGCTGTGCGGAACAGAGCTCTGGACCATATTGCATCATCTTGACATCTGGAAGGGTTGGAGACTAACTTGGTTCCATTATGTGCAGATCTTACCCCAAGGAACTGGCCTCTATCTCCTGTGGACATTGTTTTCTCACTTCATTGCTGAGAATTAAGCACTTTTATGTAACTCCCCTGGGGTGGAGGAACAACTGGAAATTTGTGCCTGGTTTCTCCTGCTCCTGGACTCTGCCCTTTGTGCTGTTTTTCTTGGTTTGATTTTACTCTTTATTTTTTACTGTAATAAACTCTTATGGTAAGAATAAGAATAACAGCTTTTTTGAGTCCCATGAGTCCCTTGAAAAAAACAAACCTGAGGATTGGCTTGAAGAATCTCAACACAAGCCAATGAGGTGTCACCTCTCCTTAGGAAGGAGGACCACACAACTGTAGAGTGTATCCCTCTTCACCACTCTCTTCTTTGTAACTGTGTTTAAGAAACAAACCGTTGGAAGAAGCTGGAGAGAATCGAGGTACTGCAGAGATATCTAGTCTTCGGAGAGCAAATGCATAAGATGCATAGGTTTCCTACTTCTCTCCAAATTTGAAAACATTTACTAACCTGATAGGAATGGAAAAGGCAATTTCCCAAGAAAGAAGTATTCCCAAATAACGCACTTTGCCCCTAATTTCCTGGACTGCTTCTCTAGCTAGGCTCTAATAGATTCTTATTAAAATCCAAAACATCTCACTCTCTCTAAAGAGCAAACAAGAGTTTCTCACTTACTATTTATTAGCTAGTCTTCCTCTTTTCTGAGATTTGTCTCAGTGAAGCAAAGAGGCTATTGGTAGGGGGTGGAGGTCTGCACTCAGCCTAGAGGAGCCCTGCTGGGGAGGGCAGGTGGGTGAAAATGGATGCCACTGCTCTTCCTCAGCATCTGAGCACCCAGGAGGTAGAGGCGAGCCACCCACAAGTGAGAGGATTTGGATGTGGGTTTGAGAAGGTGGCAAAGAGACCAACACACACTCACAATGTAGAAGTTTAGTAAGTAAAACAACAACTTTAGCAGGCCTATTGAAGCACGGCAGAGAGGTCAGCATAATTTGAGTCTCAATGAGTAGCCACTTAATTTTGATATAAACAGTAGGAAGCAGGGGAGAGATGACTATACATGGAGCAAGAGAACACATGTAGGTGGTTCCACAGGGCATATAAAGTCACACAGCTGCAGTATGACACAGATTCACAGAGCAGCAAACAGGTTTAGGGAAACTAAATAACTTGCTCTGGTCACTTTGTAAGTAGACACATGCAGGACTGGAAAGATCTTATTTTTCTATTAATCGAGTTGCCTATGGTCTTTCATCACAGAAGCAGCAGTGGGAACTCAGCATGGTTTTCTATAGATGTTCTCCCTGAGAACAATTATTACAGGGAATATTACGTGTAAGAGTGCAGGTTAAGCCTACTGACTTAACTTCACACTGAGAATGCATTTAAGCAACTAGGGAAGGATATGGCAGATCAATGGTCTACTATGTCTGTGGCTCCTATATAGTACTGAATTATAGACTGTTCTGGCCCACAGTCGGAGAGAAATCCATCTAACAATGGGCCATTCCATTACACCTCTCTTCCCAAAAGTCAATAGATTGAGTTAGCCCAAGTGCTCCAGAAAGTTCAAATGCAATGAAGAGAAATGAAAGAAAATTTATAACAATTGCTCCAAAATTTGGATTCATTAATTGACACTTCAATTAGTAAAACACTTCTTTTATATTCTTAAGATACTTTTAAGAGTCAAGTGTAATGTTCTGAAACTTTATAGATTTAGTAACAATTTCAACTCAATTTTAGCTCTATTTTAAAGTCAATATACTTTAATTAAATCTACAGTTAAGAGGTTTTTTTAACTTAGGTAATGACTGAATTTTATTTTCATATTTGAATATGTTTTGACATATATAATAATATTCTTTGAGAATTTTTTGTATAAAATTTTAAGATTTTTTAAGTGTGAAGTACTAAAAGGGAAAGCAGCTATGTAGGAGAGAAGCCAAGACAAGGGTTTTTGCTGTTATTTTTAAACTTTCTGTGCTATATGCTTATACAGACATCTATAAATGTGTATGACATACACAAAAATATGACTACAAATAGCTACATGGAACTTTGCCTTGGAAAATAGTGAGATACACATGATATAAGAGAATACAATTCTCTTATAGTAAGCCATTACTTATAATTGTAGTAATGATATTAACACTGCTTAGAATGTGATAAATTTTTAAAATAAACTTAACACTTTAGAATAACTTCTACCTTCATTAATCATGCATATTTCTTATTTATAAGGACGTTTTTGGACTTTCATGATTATTTTAGGTCTTCATCAATATTTTTTATTTAATATCATCTTTCTCAGTAGAAGCTTAATTCATGTGTATTTAGAACATTAATGCCTTTATTAATAACACATTTCTCTTAAGGCCTGTTTTGTGCCGGTCTTTTCCTAATGCTAGGATAGGGTCGAATACAAAGAGAGAAAATACTGGCCCTCCCTAGAGTTTATATTCTGGTAGGGGAAGGCTCTGAATCAACAAATCAAAACACGGCACATGGGGTTATAAGGGCTTTAAAGGAAAGTAAAACAGGTAAGGGAGGAAGGAACAACGGAGAGGAGGCCGCCATGTTTAATGGCTCATAGGAAGCCCCTCTGGTGAAGTGAAAAGCAGTAGTTTCTACACAGAAGGAGCAGGGAATGCTTGACATGCAAAAATGAGCAAAATCCAGGGTCTGGTATCCAAATCCAGTGGCTCCAAAACCTAAGGGCTTTTTCTCTTAAAGTTAGAGAGGAAAGAAACTGGATAGAGGCAAGTTGAGAGCAAAGATTTCTTAGCTGTGCACTTTGGCTTAGAGACACAGAGTACCCTCTCTTGGCTCAGTGATCAGCCCATTAGATGTTCTTATACATGACCTGCTACCTGTCTGCAGCTCAGTTTCCCTACCCTTATCTTAGCCATATCCAAGAGAAATAGAAACAAAAATGTACAGAGAACACAGGCTTTGGATATAGTATTTAATATTGTTTCACATAATCAGTTTCAAAGCTGTATGTGAATGGGATCCAATTATAAGTGGATGGAAGGTTCTGTCCCTTTTTTTTCACATACATTATCATGAACTACCATAGTCCTTCTGTTGTGAACTGCCGTAGTCACTCTGGTGAACAACCTTCTTCTGATCTAGTAAGTTATCACTTTCCTTTTTATAGTTCATAATAATAATAATGATAACACTAAGAACTCAGCCTTGAATCCCCTCTCTTAGGCTGTATGACTGTGCAAAAGTGGGTGTTGTCTGTCTCAGGAGACTCAGATCTACCACTAGCCCAGGCCAACTACAGTGGCCTGGAGCAGTGGTGGTGCCTTATGGCAAACCTGAGTCCATGTGAATTTCGCAGCTCTATCACCCTTCCTCTACGGTCTTCCTCATCTCAGTCAATGTATACAAACTATTCAGTCAGCTCAGTATAACGGAATATGTTGAGATATATATATATATATATATATATATTTGATAAATTAAGCCACAGTGTGATGGATATTTAACATTTGGCATGAATCCAGTTTGTTAAGATAGCTTCAAACTATAACTCCTTAGATATAGACACCAAATGCAAGTGAAAATTATTGGAATGCTTCGCTTGTTGTGGAAATACTGATGGAAGGAAGGATAGCGAGATTTTGAACCATGTTTTAATTTACCAGAATTACAAGTCCAAGAGGTAGGAGAGAGAACCTGCCACAGTGCCTCTCTCTACTTCATTTCTCTTTGATGTCCCCCTCAGGAGACATCAGGGGTCTTGTGCTTGCCTTGATATTCCAAACTTGTTCTGATTCAAAGCAATGTTTAAATCCCTCCAAGGCTCATCTGTACCCAAATCCCTTCCACCACTGTCTCTGGGATCACTGTATATTTCAAGTGTTGTCTCAGGTTTGAAAAACAGTCAGGAACCCCGAACATGGAATCATCTGGAACCACTTAGTTCACTCATTTATTTCTCCTTTCATTTGTTTCTCATAGGAAAAAAGAAAAAAAAAAAAAAGACATCCCAAGCTTGTTTCTCAGTGAGATGATACCTTTCAGTTATCAGTAAATTGCATCGTAAAAGCAAGAGTGCTTCTCTGGATGATGAGAACGGAGAATGAAATACTATGCCAATTTAAAATGCTATTACCTTCTTGCTTTCCCAATATCTTTTCCCTTCGATGCTACTGTTCTTACATAGAGAATATCTTTTTTATTATTTCCTGCTATTTTCTTCATCACCAAAGGAGCTTCATTAGAGAAATAAAGCAAGACTAGGTACATTTGACAACAAAGACAAATGATGCTGGTGAGGAGCTCTCTGATGAGGCAGCTTGCAATTTCTCTGCTCAGTAGAGTACCTCTGACTCGCAGGGAGACGGGCCTGGCATCTGCTTCAAGAACAACATATGGCTGGTGTTAAGCACTGTCAGTGTCTGAAGAGGGGTGCCAGTATGAATCCGGGACAGGAAGAACATGAATGCACAGACTGGATGGAAATCTGGCATTTTTCCACATCTACGTACTTCCACTTGTGAGATGTAGCAGAAGCAAGGAAAGCAAACTGATTCTGCTTGAGTTTTATGGATGGGATGTTCCTCTTCTTCCCCTGCTCCGCCCCAAAGTCCCATTCCCAGGGGTAAAAATTCTCTTCCTTTGTCCTTGCTTTGCTTACACTTTCTCTTAGTTTGGTGGTGGTGGTGATTACATTGTCCATTTCTTTATGTTACGTAAGCATAATCAGGCAACTAAAATTACAGTCCTTGCTAGTAACCAGGCACTGCCTTTTGAAATACTGAAAAATTCTTCGTGGTGAAATGTCTTTTTCCCTCTTACAAGTCATGTAACATGTTAAAATACTTCCTCACAACACAGAAAGCATATGAGATTCTTAACCAAGACTGTCTGGGGCTTTCAAACATTATGTCAATTGATTTTATTAAAACTACTTACTGTCATCATACCATCCAAAAGACCAGTCTCAGGCCTGGGCGGGGCCTGCAACCTCTCCATGGACCACTTCTCAATGATGGATGATACATGAGGGTTGTCAATGTTAAGGAGCCGGAATCCAGTCATGTTCACGCCACTGTACCTATAGAGTTCCAGATCTAGAGCAAATAAGTCCTGCATGATATTAAAAATGAGAAAAAGTAGAAATGGATTAGCATTTCAGTGTTTGTATGCAAAAGAAAATATACCATGTCTTTAAAAACATTTGGAATTTTTTTTCATTCCCATTGCTACCTGAGAAACTAAGGGAGTACATGATTTTCATTTTTTGCAAAACTATTAATTTGGGTAAATCAAGAAGTAAACCCCTGGGCACAAGAGATGATCTTCTGAGGGGTAATAATTCTCTTCCTAGGATATAGTCTTTGTGGAGTTGAAGGAATCTTTGTATGTATTTGATTCAATGCTTTTACTTTATAGATGACAAGAATAAAGCCCTTCGTGGTGAAATGTCAAGGTCAGGAATGAACTGCAGGCCTTTTCTGTATCAACCCTCTCGATCACATCTTGATGTTTCTGGGTTTTGCCATGGAGATGAAATTTGGGAATTACATTTGTACATGTGCCGACAGGAAGATCATTCCTGGCAGGAAATAATATCACCCGTTTTGCTCACTGAAAATAACTCATTTTCCATAACAATGAAGACCTAAGAAATGTTCAGTGGGCATGTGCTCAGGCTAGGAGCCCAAAGGGCTGCTTTAGGGGATATACTGCATCATATGGTCATGTGGGTCTGAGAACGTCTTAACAATCAAATTCATTTTCTTTCAGATAGTATTTCAGGGAAAAAATTTTAACCCACCCAGAGTTTCATGTGACAGAAAAGGCTGGGTGAAAACAAGATGCCTATAAATAAATTCACAATTCCCCTACATTGTTTCCCCTTCCCTAGACAACTTTTGGACCATGTGTAAAACCAAAAGAAAGCAGCTTTGCTCTTTTAGTTCAGTATCAGAAAAGGTGTACTTACAGTCTTTTAAAGAGTCACACATATTTTTCTTTTGTACTAAGCAACTAATTTCTTAAAACGTTCTATTTTTACTTACACAAGAATGGTAAGAATATAAAAATGATACAGGAAATGATGTGGGTAAAACTGTAGGAAAACACCTAAAGCAAATTTAAAGATTAAGACCCAGGGAAGAGTAATTTCATCACCAACGATCTGTTAACTTTTTTTTTTTTTTTTGGTTTTTCTCCAGTACCGGGAACCGAACTCACAACCTTGCACTTGCCAGGCAGGCACTTTTGCCGGTGAGCTAAATCCACAGCCCCTTGATCTCTCAACTTTTGAGCAAATTTTGCTCTCAAGCAGCAGAGCAAAGGTCACTCAAACTACTTCACAGAACTTCCAGCGTACAAACGGAATCTCATAATATGTAAATTCAACATCTTAAAATGAATACATTAATCATGTGAAAAGTCCAATGGCCCTCAAATTTGAAGTTTCAGTTAAAGCAGGATATGGGAAATTCAAGGTTTGATTAGTGACACCCCAAGGGGAGAAAAGCAAGAGTGAAGGGTGGACAGGAATAAAAAGTGTGCAATTTATTAATCTGCAGGAGCCTCCTTTGATAGTAGTTCCAGATTCTACAAACCATCTGTTCTAAGTGGGTACAGGTGGAGTGGTAGAAAGTTGGAAAGCCAATGGCCTCATCACTGTACGTGATGTCCTGATGTTCATGGTGTGAAGGAAGGACCACATTTGGGAATAGAATAAGACACTTAATGGCTCCCAAGGTCTCTCTCAATGTTTCTTTTTTCGTTCTTGTGTCAAGCAATTTTTAAAAAATTAATTATTTTTATTAGTACATTTCCAATACACAATGATTACATTGATTGTAGGGACCTGCTACATGCACAAAGCACATCTTAATTCTTTTTCTATCCTCTTCTCCTGCTATTCCTTTCTGGCTCAAATTCAAATATCTCCTGGTTTCTCTTATATGAGAAGTCCAAAGTATAAATAAAGAGCAGAATAGGAAATAGGGAGATCTTTTTCAAAGAAGAAGAGGAGCAAGATATGCAGGGGGAACAAAGGAAGGGAAAATGGTATTTACAAAACAGAGCAAATAAAGGGAAAAAATGGAAATAGATCCCTCAACTGTTGTGAAAGAGGAAACAGCAAGGAAGCAGCAAGACAGAAGATCATGGAAACCTTAGTTTAGTAAATTCCCCCTTGCACCCCATGTCCCTATGCTCAGCAGCACCTGGCTGTGACAACATACCCTAAACCCATGTTGCCCCCTACACCTACTCATGCTCTCAGAGACATTGGAATTGGGCAGGGAACTTACTATGTCTCTGAATGGTTGGCTTATGACAGTTCTTTGGTCCTTGTTACAGATTTTTTGATTCTCCCGCTCACCAGCTTAGCTTGTCAATTTTATTTACTAACACAGTGCACTTATTGGATCCCCCAGAATTTGGGTAGGTTTTATTCGAAACACCCTTATAGATTAGACAAGGAGGCTGATTCTGAGTTTCTTCTCATGTAAGAAATGCAGCGTTTGGGTGTCGGAGGGAACAGGCAATGTGTGTGTCTGGTTGATTTGTGAAAGTGATCAGATGAGAACTACTACATCAGTTTGGTTTTTTAACACATCATGTAATTCTCTCCTGATCTGATAATCAGGATTTAAGGTGTCAGAGTTTCATTTGAATTTTGTAAGTTTATAACCATATTTTTTTCTTAATGGTGCAAAATATTCACTGTGCAGAGTGTCTCCCAAATTCCTGTACTTGACAGGTTGCAAGTGTCTGTCAGATGATTCCTGGGTATCCTAGCTGTCCCTGGCCACAGGAAAGAAAGCTATATCAGATCAAAGAATGCCAAGGCACACTTCAAGGCACTGTCTAATTGTTATAGACATTGTAAACAATGCTTGTGTATGAGTTTATGCTTTGACAGTTTCTATTTAATGGAATCCCATCTCATTCTGGGTGTACATATATTGATGCCAGTAGGAAAAGGAAGAAAGAAACAAAGAAAGAAAGAAAGAAAGAAAGAAAGAAAGAAAGAAAGAAAGAGAAAGAGGAAGAGAAAGAGAAAAAGAAACTTGCTGTTCAGCATTGCTAGATTTAAAAGATTCTTATGAAAGTTATGCAAATCTCTGAGACAGTACCCTGCCTTTGACATCGGAGGGGCTAACTTTGAAATAGTGTCTGGAGATGTCTCTTCTCCTGTGGAACACATTTTTACCAGGGTGTGCTTACCAAGGTTGTGAAAAAGTAGTGATAGTATTCAGTCATCATGCCCATGAACAAAATCTGCAAAAGAGAAATAAGGAGGAAAGAATCAGAATTATAATACTGGATCATTACTGTAGTAAGATGGCTGCAAAAGCCTGGAAACACAGAACCAGAGGGGGTTTTAGAAATCTACAGACCCAGCAGGTCAGAGAGCTGAGGCCAATTAGTGGCTGGTGTGGAGTAAGGCCGTGAACCTCCGTCCCCCTCATTTGACCGTGTTTGAATTACATGGCAGAATCCACCTAATGATTCAATTTAAAAATAGTTTACACTCAGCACATTTTATATTTATAGTTGCCATAAAAGCACAGGGTTTTGTCTTTCCCATGAATTCTGAACAATTCTGTTTAGAAATACATCTTAAGAGTTCTTAGTCTTGGAACTGAGCATGATATGTCCCTTGGAGAAGAACTCATTAAATGCTGAAATGGCAATGCTAATATGGAGACTCTTTAAATGAGGATTTCTTAGTAAGTGTATCTCCGAGACCTCTGTCTCTACTCCCTTCCCATCTTATCCCACAAAATGAGTAGAGGAAGAAAGGACAAGTTTGTAAAAGGAAGAAGGTAGGCTATTCTTATTCCAGTTTCACCTTGTCTTTCTATTCTGATTCTCAGTTACCTCAATTATGATATGAGAGGTCCAGAGATTTTGTGTGTGTATATTACCTTCACTTTGTGAGGGAGAGGAGAAGATGAAGAGAACTAGAAAGAACAGGGGCCCTGGGTAGAGGTCATTTATTAAACCGTGATATTCTGACTCCTGCAAACGGTGTCAATACAGCAGAAAGAAGTTGTGAATGGCTTCCTGCATCTTCCAAACAAGAGTATCATCTTCCTTGTGGCATATCACCACCGGGACTGCTGGCCTCCTGATTTTTGACCTTTGAGCATAAATGAATGAAGAAGACTTGACACTTCTGAAGCAGTTTTCTCACAACTGTGATCAATTCTAGGGATAAGTTAGAATCCCCTTTGGGAGTTTTCAAATCAGAAGTTCTTAGGTTTAATTACAAAGACATTCTGTACTGGACTTTCTGAAAGTTGAACCTGTAATAGTTGGGTATCACTGTTGCATGCATTAAAGAATAAAGACTTTTGCAACTTAGAAGAAATGGATTGAAATGTCTGGGAAAATGGCAACAGGAAGTTATCAGGTGTCCTAGCAAGTACCTAAAATATGCAAACTAGAATGATTTCACATGAAAACAAATAAGGGATGAAGAGGGTACTGAGTAACAGGAAATAAGGAAGCATGAACACTAGCCAGATACTTAACACCATCTCTGCTCACATGGACAACTGAGGAATATTTAGTGAAATTGCTCTGTCATGAAGGTAAGACAAATGATAGAAATTCTCAGTATAAATCATGAGCCAGTAGCATGTAAGTTAGTCCTATGATTATAACAAGACAGGGCACACTAAAGGATTTTTAAAAGGTAGACTTGCTTTAGGTCCATCAATAACATTTAAAGTCAGGCTTGGTAAAGTCTTGTTAGCTGGTCTTATATCACTCACGCATACAGAGCTGGTCGGCCAGGGTCAGCCAGGAATCCAATTTTTCACTTTGGTCATTAGACAGTGTGATTGCAGCCTACACAACTACCCTTTGAAGGGGACCTACTTAAATTTTATGTTAAGTTATAGAGACAGGCACTAAGGTTTAAAACAGTGTTCCTGGAATTACAAACGAAATGCAAAGGCACCTGAGTTTAAAACTTTCACGTGGACCATTTTCTTTCTAAACTTCATTATGGAAAATTTTGATTCCTTATTGAGAGCATAAACACTGCTTAAAATGACTTTTTGTCATTTTCCTCATTATTTATATTATTATTTTCATAATTCCCAGAGGCAAATATTCATTTGATATTCCTCTTATTCAGTGTTTGAAATGAAATATGAAAATTCAGTGAATAAATAGCTGGAAGGCCTGCTTTTATTATGGAAACAGCACTCCTGATACTATTTTTCTTTGCTATACTAGAAAAATTTTTGTTCTCTTTCCTAGTAGTTGCTTAGGTCAGTACATCCTAGTTCTCCTCTGATTTTCCTAGAAATAGAAATCAAGAAACAAGAACAGTCATTGATCATTTTCCTGCCAACTTGGTGCACACCCTAGGACCAGCTGAAGGAAAAACTTCTAAAAAAGAACTCTGAAGCCAGGAGCATGAAATGTGGTGCCATTAAAACTGTCTTTACTGTGGTCTGCAAGCTGGATGGGACCCACAGTCCTGCCTTCTAATAGCAGGATATTTTATAAATGAATGTGCTGCATTCACATTATGATTTTCTCTGTGTGTTGGTATTTCAGCTAAAAGTCATTAAGGGATTAAGAAAATGTCACACCAGAATAAATGCCAAGGCTAAAACTAAAAAATTACAATCATGATGAGGAGAGTTTTCTAATAGTTCTTTGTAAAGCTGACTGCTAAGAGTACTGTCTTTGAATTTCACTGCTACATTTGTGCACGGAATGAAGCAGTGGTGGCAGAGGCAGGGACGTATTTTACCCAGACAGTATTGCTAGGAACTATTGCTGGTACTGTCTAAATTTCTTTTAGTGGCACAAATTGTATCATGTCACATCACTACTGTGTAACAAATGCAGCTACCAATACACTTCATGTATTGTCTTTATGGAAGAGAAATTATTCAACTTGTTCCAACCTTGATTTTTTTGTAGTATGTTTATTCTATAAAGCATGAGAACAGCCTACAAAAAATACACTTGAAACCAAGTGATAAATATATCTAAGAGGAATTCTTCCATAAAGAAAATGACAATACACAGCATATTCCCTTTAATTGCTTTCACTAATACATTCTTCTAGTGATGCTAGCTTCCTAATAGGATTAGTATCGTTAAATGATTTTTGACATCCTATCGTTGATTTAGATTGATAGGCAGCAAAAAGCACTGTCTTTTCCATAACGTTGTATATTTAACATAGGGATGGTGCTTTGTATGTACTATTGTTGATTTTGGAAGATCCCCATGTGGATATCATTCATACCGACTGTCAATTTCCTAACCCAGAGGGCACAGGATAAAATATATTTCCTGGCCTTCTGTGCTTCCTTGGGGCCCTGTGTGGGTGCTAGTGGGCAAAGTGAGTAAGATGGTGGCATTCACCACTTTGCTGTCCCTGGAATATGAATGGTATGACCATCATATTGGTATGACCATCATATTGGTATGACCATCATATGGTATGACCATCATAAGCAAGCTGTTCTTCTGCATATGGACATTTTTTCTATTCTGTATATACCAGGAATCATGTAAATGGTCTTGTTTATAACTCTGCTTTGAATGTTACAAAAGTTAGGGTTAAAATTATGAGTTCTCCATGCCCAGCTACTCAGGAACAGCACACGTGTTATCTGTGAGAACTCATCTTATCCAGCTTTAGATTTTTCCAATATAATTTCTGCCTTTGTACCAACTCCGCATTCCTCTTAGATATATTTATCACTTGGTTTCAAGTGTATTTTTTGTAGGCTGTTCTCATGCTTTATAGAATAAACATACTACAAAAAAATCAAGGTTGGAACAAGTTGAATAATTTCTCTTCCATAAAAAGAGTTTTTCTCTCTTTAAAATAAAAAAAAGAGATGAACTCTTTGGATCTGATGTAAATGGGTTAAGTTAGTGTAAGAACAAAGATTTCCAACAAAAATTTTGTTTTTTTGTCCCTGACTTCAATAATCACCATTCATAGTAAACTTTACTCTATATTACAGCAGAATCAAATATAAGATTATGAAAAAAATGATATCAAAAGAAGGAAAGTCCTGTACACAAAACATTCCATTCTACCTAGGTAAGAAGATCCTTAAATCAACAAGGGAAAGGATGGTTTGTGTCTACTTTAAAGTTTTCTCTCTATTATGCTACTGAGCGGGGAAACGCCCCTTGACTATTTCACAGACTAGAAAATAATTGTCTTTTTTACCTGTATGAGAATGGACCTGCAGAAGGCAGATTTAAAGCCCAATGCCACTTTTCTCTCAAAAGGACAATTCTATGATGCTATTGGTATCAGTATCCCCTGGGACAGTTATTGCTTATTAATAATGGTGACCCCACATTAGTGAGTGCTGCTTTTTGAAATTGTTGCAATCCTCATGAACCTCATTCACACTTTAGCCCTAAGACTCATGGGTCTATTCCTGCTGTTCTTGACAATGGTTTCTTTGTTCATCTTCTAGTTTCATGGACGGTTTATCACATACATCATGAGAAGCACCAATTTTAGTTTGTCTTGCAAATCCTCACTGGGGTTTTGGGTAAAAACAACCAAGAATGGTTTATAAATTCTAATGCCTGTGGTGGCTGCAGAATCACCCTAGGAGATAACTGGAAAGTGGAGCAAAGTATTCCACTGACATATCCAAGTATCTTACAGAGCATGTGCAATATTTCAATCTGATCATTTTCTAGCAGGCAAAACAGTGCTATGGAAACAGCAACAAAAAAAAGAATTATCCTCTACAAATTCTCAGCACCCATTGTGAAGACCATTCCACATGCCAGAAATAATTGGTATTATGCTGCTATTACAGTAGCAAATCTCAAAAAGGAACTTGGAATTTTCCTGAGCAATTTTGAAGCATCCTTATAATATTTATATAGGTTCTTATTACTGCTTTTTCCATTGAAAAATTTGTGTCTTCAAAGTTTATATTGACTAACCTGAAGTATATTGCTCCTTTTATAGCCTTCTTGATATAAGGATAAATTCTAAACCATAAGACATGGTTTCTAGTCAATAATTTCAAGTGAATAACTTCCAAATGTGTAACAGGCAATGTGACTAAAATAACAGTTTACCTCCTGATAGAAATAAGTTCCCTCAGCATAAGAATGTCCAGGAAACCAGCTGAATGATTTCAGGTCTCAGAGCAGTAATTTTAAGATGAAATTTTTAGCCCCAGGGCACAGCTCTTTTTCATTTGCCAGCTGTGGTATTTGTGACTGCACTCACACTATCTTCTCCACAGGATTCTTCT